GCCTCACTAATAACGGATTATTGTCCCGGTCATTTTCTGTTTGTTTCCAGCTTGTTTCTCATCAAAGTTAATGATGTTATTCCAAGGTCAGCAGCATGTTTCACCCAGCAGAAGGAAAGAGCAGATTGTCGTTGCTCAGATCAACAGCTCCGAACTCCTCTCTCTCTCTCTCTCTCTTCCACTCTTTGTCTCTCTCCTCCTTTAGAGCTCATACTCAGTGATGCTATGCTTGACATTAAACTATTTATTCCTAACTTACCACGGTTTTATCATTTTCACTCTCAGAATTCCTCTTCTCACCTCTCTGCCCCTATTTATTCTGTTCTTTCACTCTGCTGTATCATCCCCATCCCTCATCCAATTTGCCATCTTATCTCCTCTGTTTTGCTTTGTTCTCCTGTGCGTTTATGTGCATATAGATGAACTGATTACACCGGATTCCAAGATTAATGTAATGAAGAGCGTTCACATCATAATAGCATCAAAAAGTAGGAAAGAAATGGAGCAACTTCATCTTTTTAATACTTTCCATATAGTTGGTTTTCAGAGCATCCTGATGCAGCCTCCGCTACCTGCACATGTTAGATGGAACACTAATTAGTTGCAACATGAAAGCTGTTTCTGCTGCCACCTTTTCTCCCACCTGCACCACCCAACACATCTTCAAAGGCACAATGTTGTGTCTGGTTCAGTGTCTGAGGCTCATTCACTGGATCAGAACACCAAAAGGAACCAGACTTAATTCTCGATCATATGTAGGTGGGCCGCTCCTCCTCTGATTGGAGGAAGTTAACTCTGGTTTTATAGAAATGTCCCAGACTGTCCACTCTGCGACAGCACTGGCCCTGCAAGGTTCAGGGTGATTTAAAACCTCAGAGGGTGTGTTGAGACAGTTTCAACCCACAAAATGCAGATTTTTATACATTTTAAAGGATGTCAATATTAACACCTGCACTGTTAGGAGGGGAGGAGACAGCTGTTCATGACCCCTAAGTGAAACCAAAATGTCTTGTAAGTGAGTTTCATTCAGCAGCGGTGAGGAACTTTTGTTGATTTTGGTTCAATAAATCAGTCACAGCAGCTTTATGGATGCAGCACATGCAGGAATAATGTCAAGACACGCTCCACTGCTCCGTTACTCTGCTTTAAGTGACACTGTGCAGATGTTTGTAGCTGATATTATCCTCACTGTGGTTGGAACCATTTTTTTCCCTCTTCCACGTGGTTGCCTTCCACTCTGTATATTTTCCCTCTTCTGTGTGTGTGTGTGAGTGTGTGTACATAAATCACTGGGTCACCTTCCTCTTATTGCATTCATGGCCATTTCTGTGGAAGCTTTTAGTGGCAACGTCAACCAAGTGACTGGAGACATTTTATTTTTATATTGCCGGGTACGCGTCACAGATCCCATCTTTTTCCCTCCCGGCACATCCATCTCACTTGTTCAGTCACTTCTGGTCTCTCCGTCTGACTGCGTCTTACTCACTCTTCTCTGGTTAGATTTTCTTTTACTTCCTCATTTGGCATCTTTAGCGGTGTTTTTCTACTCCATAACATCTCTACTCGTCTGTTCTCTCTTTATCTGAGAGGTCTGAGCGAGTTCTCATGTCTTCAGATTTGATCAAAGAGGAACGTTGTGGTTTTCTTCCCGAAGCTCATGACCGGTCAGCCTGGTAGCCTTCACAACAACAAATCAGAACACAAACCTGTCAAGATCACAGGATCGCTCTATTTATACATGCTGGGCTTGTAACGGACTCAGATGGAAACTTATTTTCAGGCCATGAAATTAATTTGCTCTGGCTCGAGGCTGGTGAGCGAGATCTGCCGACAGATTCTCAATGCCACGCACGAATTTTCACTAACATTTAGTTCAGATGTCAGGCAGAGTTCAGCGAGTCTCAGCTGGTTTTATCTGGATTTCCTCTTCTTAATTTCTACCTTCAAATCCGAGGGTGGAACAGCATCAGCACACCTTCAGGACAGGTATTCATCACGATGAACAACTCAACACAAAGCAATTTTTAATAGTCAAACACAAGCTCCAGTCTCCATTTTGAGGGACATGTCACGTTGATGTGTGAAGTATAAATTGGCTTTTACATTTGGAATCTGGAAGCCACCACTTTCTGATTTCCATATTTCCATACTTTAAACTGTCAGTAATATGCATTAAATATACCATCACAGTCAACATACAGACATTTTCTGCCCAGCAACTATTTAGTACGGAAGCCAAAATTGGCCGGACTTGCTAGAGATGCACGATATGGATTATCTTTCAGCTGATACAATAACAATAATTACCTGCTTCTAATGGCTGATACCAATAAGATAATCAATAATTTAAAAAGTTCATTATCTTTTTACACACCTGAGGGTAAGAAAGGCTAAGATTGGTGATTTAATATTCCATCAGCAAATCTAACAAACAACAACAACAACACAAAACAATTTATTTTTATAGTACATCAAAAAACTTACGACATAGAAAGCTTATCGGACGTTTTATATATATATATATATATATAGTGCCTACATCCCTAGTGCCTACAATTATGTTATTACCTCGAGATCACAAGTTATTTTATCCTAATATCTTGACAAAACGAAAGGCCAGTTTCTCAAGATAACGATCAGTTTGTTACAAGAACATTTAGTTTTTGTGCAAATTCTTCTCATGCTTTTTTCCTGGCTGCTGGCTCATTTTGGTCATTATTAAAGTGCTTGAAATTAGCACCCAAATTATATTGTAAGCTCTGGAAAACAACCTCAAAACAGTTAGAGAATGTGGAATTAAAAATGGATTTGTCACAATGCTGCAAAACGTGCGCTCACATTTCCACTTTATTCTGTAGCGTGGTAGCGGCAGCGGAGTGACAGTGAGGAGGATTTGAAGAGGACGGACTCGACTGTTCACCTCAGCAGAGATTACAGTTTATAATCACACACACACACACACACACACACACACACACACTCACACACACACACAATTACATGTCACATCTAATAATTCAGACTGAGGTGAAGTATGGGTGACAATGTAATGGCTAGGTTGAGTAACACAGTTTAATGAGCACTTAAACATGTCCTTCAATTAATCTAATTCACAGGGTGCTTCACTGCTCTTGTGTGTGCATGCTGTGTTAGTGTGTGTGTGTGTGTGTGTGTGTGTGTGCTTCATTTCAACCCTTTTCTTCTGTCTTACAACAATAAAACAGGTTTTTCCTGCTATGTTTATTCCTTCTGTTCATACCGACTCTTTTTCTATCTTTTTTTATCAGTTAAAAGGGTTGAAACGCGCAGCTTTTTTATTTTCTGGTTTATAAACTCTCCAATGACACTAAACTGAATCTCTCTGGGTTTTGAACTGTTAGAGAGAACATACCGGTTTATGGCCTTGTTGTGAGTTTTGGGAACTTGTGAGGAACATTTATGTGATTAATTGAGGAAATAATCATCAGCTGCAGCCTTCTGCAGGAAGTTTGTGTAAAACATATTTGATTCAGATTATTTCCTGTTTATAGAACTTTTTATAAACTTCTCTGTCTGTATTTTCTTAATGTTTAACAATCATTCAGACAGAAACATGTTTCTTTTGACAGATTCAGTGTTTCCTTCTCATTGTTCTCTCGGCTCTTTGGTTGGTTTCTAATGCAGGACGAGGCTGTCGATCAGAGACTGAAGCTCTGTGAATGTAACTTCTGTTCAGGTCTTCACATATATTTTAAAAAATTAAGCCCACCATGAAGCTTTGTACTCCCAGTGGGGGTCAGGACCCCCAGGTTGGGAACCGATATACTGATGGTCAGTATGAGCAGGAGGAATGATTGCAGCAAGCAGAAACTGTGATGGTTCACTGCTGCAAGGACACTATATATTATATATTATATATTATACATTATACATTATATTATACATATTATATTACATATTATATATTAGAATATTTTGAGACAGACTTGATGAATGTGAACTCCTCCTTTAAAATGAGTTTAAAGGTCAAGTCTAGGTTGACTGTCAATCGCATGTGACCTGACAAGTCCGGCTGAAGGACAACCGCGGGGTCGCTTCTGACCCCCATTCGATCTGAAGTGTTAAATTACTCCCATCAGCACCCACATCCTCCTGTCAGTTCCCATCATCCACCTCCCCACTCTCCTCCGTTCCTCCGTATGTCTTCCCTCTCCTCTTTCTTATAACCCTCTCTGACTCTCGCTTGTTTTTCTCTCCTTCTTCTTAATTTTGTCTCCATCCATCCCGTCTCCTCCCTTCTCTCTCTCTCTGGTTTTCATCCCTCCAGCTCCTCCCTCCCTTTGACTCTGTTACATGACCCGACTCTCACTTCTCAGTGTCCTTCCTCGATCACTCCGTCGCCTCTGGTGGGTCATATTATCCTCCATCCATCCCTCTGTCTCCATACAGTAATGATTCAGAGAACCCGAGACCACCCCAGAGAGAGCGAGAGCGAGAGAGAGACACAGACTTAAAGAGGGAGAGGATAGCAGAGAGAGAGAGAGAGAGACTGAGAGGGATCGATAGCTTTTAACAGGAAGGTGCTCTCAGTTCAGATTATAGATCTAGATACACACACTGCTACATGCACTAACACACACACACACACACACACACAGAAAGCAACCATGTATGTAGATATGTATGCACACTTGTACAAAACATTATTATTCAATTTCTCTCTCTCTCTCTCTGTCTCACTCTGTCTCACACACACACACAACACACACACACACACACACACACAACACACACACACACACAAATCCACAGTGCTTCTGGGAAATTTTGCACAGCCTTGTTTTCGGTCCAGCAGTATGTGAAATGTGTCCCTCGGCTGTGTGAGCTCACTGATTCCTGCTGTGGCTTCACTGTACACCACACACACACCCACACACACACACAGAGGACGCTCTGATATCTGCAGCCAATTCATGTTCCCATATACTTCCAGAAATTTCACTCCCTTGCTTCTTGTCCAGACTTCAAAATAACTGACACAGACAATATTCAAACTCGCCCCCGCATTGTTTCCACCAGCGTCTCCTCGAAGGCGAGCTGACCTTTAGATACAGTTCCATACATCAGAGACTACACACTGTGAGCCTTTGTTGATCTTCAGAATACGTCTGTCCACACTGTCTCACCTGGCACGCTGTATGTCTTCATTGAGAGGCTAATGTGATTCTCTGCATATATTCTGGGTTGGTCACTGGAAGTTTTGCTCAGATGTCGTCAGATTTAAAATTGCTGAAGCCTGACACGTCTTGTCCTGTGTCTCGGCTTTATGTGGCAATGTTTGTGTCTCGCTCAGTTCACCACTTTGGTCCAGAGGGAAATATCTGGTTCAGACATTGGTCAAATCTTTCAGCTGACACTATGATGAGATAGAAAGTTCAGTTTATCCAAATACCTGCGAAACTAAAGGCATTCCCATCAGCCTCAGCTCTACTTTGTGTTTAGTGCTAATTAGCTAAACTTAGCGTTATAAACATTGCACCAACCTGTTAGCATTGTAACAATGTTAGCATACTGACCTTAGCATTTAGCTCAAGTAAAGCCTCACAGAGCTGCTAGCATGGCTGTAGAGGCTGTATTTGAAAAGAAATCATGGAATTAATCAGAAGGTTTGCAGTTCGATCCCCGGTCCCCCCCCTCTGCATGTCGAAGTGTCCTTGAGCAAGATACTAAACCACAGACTGCTCCAGATGCCATCAGTGTATGAATGTGTGTGAATGTAGTGTAAAGCACTTTGAGTGGTCGGAATACAAGAAAGTCCATTTACACACAAACTATTCACAGTATTTCTAACTTAATCGATTCAATAAGGAATTAGAACAGCTTCAGTACCAGAGTCAGATAAAATGCTATCAAACCCCATCCTAAAGACTGTCCATTGTCCTCACCTAAAGAAATTATTGGACATTCATTAAGACAAATTCTTCAAATGGGGAGGATATGTTGTGTTAATGTAACATATGGCAACACATTCATGGGGAGCTGGACAAGGCCCTGTGTCCCACAACAGGAGGTGTGCTGTCAATATTTCTAGTAATGATGTGTAATGTAATTATACAGCTTTGTGGGCTAAAGGAGGAAGCTAGCTCAGCTAGCTAGCTCATTTTTTGTATTTGTATCATTAGAAGCCAACGGGTTCTGGTTTAACAGTGTGGTTGTTAGCACCCACACACTCAGAGTAAAGCTTGTTAATGTTCCGTTTGTCCGCGTTGCTTTCCAGGTTCTTTTCCGCTGTGAAAATTAAGACTTTATTCTTTTTTTCAGAGCTGATGTATGCTTTTAAAATGAAACTCATAACATATGCTCTGAAGTCATCTGACAGCTTTGTACTGAAGGTTGTGAAAAACAGAAAACACAAAATGAGCCAGCAGTTAGCGGACGTGCTCTGACAGCTGAGCAGAGACTCAGCTAAATATATCTGGTTTTCAGAATGCAGATCTTTTTTTTCTCCATTCAATCCTTTTATATCTCACTTTGTCTGCTGTTCTGAAACAGCTCCTCCGGCCTCCGTTCGTCTTCCTGCGCGCTATCAATTCTGTTAGTTACGGCTCATTATTTTGCAGAGTTGTGCAATTTTGTGAGTTGAGAATGAAATCAACCGGGAGGCAAATTACTCTGAATGGTATTGACTTGATGACATGAACACAATCCTCATCGCTGTGCTTCATGGAAAGCCTTTTGTCCCGGAATAGATTTGTGAGTTTGTGTGAGTGACCGTGTGTTAAAAAGCGCTTGGAAAAGAGAGAGAGAGATGGAGTGGGAGAAAAATCAAGAGTGGGAGGTAAGTGGAGGGTGGAATATGTATGAATTACTGAGACAGATCTGCATCAAGCATGACTGGTCTGCAGAAAGATCCTGAGACACTTTAAAGGAAGAAAGAGGTTCAAGAAAAAGAGGGCAAAACAAGAAAGAGAAACATGAGGAAAAGATCAAAAAATTCTAACAGAGAGCGTGTGCTGACTCTCAGTCCCTGAATGCAACCGACAGGAAGCAGAAACTGTCTTTCTTTCCATTCATTCTCAGGTTTTTGGTCCCTGCAGGCAGCAGGACACACAGTACCAACAAACACCGTCAGGTTGAAACCACCTTTCTCTCTGGCCAAAACAGATCGGCTTCAACCTTGAGGGCCCGCTCCGTGGATAGAGGGATGAGAAATCCATCACGCGTGAGTCAATAAGTTTGTCCCAATTGAGCAAACAGATAGTGTCGTCTCCACAGCAAATATAGAACCGACCTCAGCCCTCCTCCGTCTATACCTGCTCTCATTTCCAAAATCTTTCATTACTCAAACATCCAGATGCACATAAACAAACATGGCGAGCCGGTGTTTAAAATAAACATCACACGAAGACTCAAACACAGATTCACACATGGTCTCGCCTATTCACGACACGGATCTAAATCTGTGCAACCTGCAGATCAAACAAACACGCATGCCGAGCCGAGCCGCGCCGCGCCGGGCTATATCTGTTTTTCCAATCTCATTTATGAGCCTTTCATAATCCTCGTTATTATAAGCAGCCAGTAATCGAAGCAGCCCCGGGGGCCCCCTCCCACCCAGCCCCCTGCCTCTCCGACTGGGCTGTGAGCCTAATACCAGCCAGGATGAAGTGTTTGTGAAGAATACAAATGGAGATGGAGGGAATGAGAAAT